CGACCCTAATGCCTTCCTAATTTAAAAACCAACACTAATTAAAGTATGAATAAAGAATTACAAGAAAAAATCCAACAAACTGAACAATTAATCACTGACGCTAAACTGGCCCTTAAATCCTGAGCCAAACAGATTGACAAATATCACACCCAACTAAAAGAATTCACCAGCCAACTTGCCACCCTCAAAAAACAATTGAATACTAATATGAAAAACAACAAACTAAACAACCAAGGAGGTCCTAAATAATGGGCTTTTGAAAAACATTTTGCACTTGTGCGGGTTGTATAGTAGGAGCCGCTTGCGTCATTGCTACCGGAGGTGCGGCGGCACCCTTAATAATTGCTGCGGCTGGCGGTGGCGTAGCAGGACACTTAGTTGGCCATAAAGTAGAGCAAGAAGAAAAGAAAGTTAAAAATCAAGCCAAAGATCTGGCTATTCGCGACCAAACTATTGCAACTTTGAAAAAGGATAATGAAAAGGCTCAAACTGAAATTAGCGAGAAAAATAAACAATTAAAAGAAATTGACGACAGGATACAAAGAAGAGACCAAGAAGTTAAAAAAATACAAAATAAACTAAAAGATCCTAATCTTTCAGAAGAAGATAAGCGAAAACTGAAGAGTGAATTAGCAATTTTATTAACTCAGCAAGAAGATGATAAGAAGGAAAAAGATAACATCACTAATACAATTCAACAATTAACCGAAAGAATTAAGGACAATAACAAAAACATCACTACTGTCGGCTCAGGTTCTCATGATAAAAATCAAGGAATTTGACAATTTATTACTTTGGAGAATATTCTCATTGCATTTGCTATCTATGCTCTTTGAAAGATTGCCCAAAACGATAATAAAGGATAATTCTTAGCCAGTTATTCGCCAAAAAGTATCAGTCAATAGGTCATATTAACCAAATTTTTTTTGTAAACTCTAAAATTATAATATAGATAAAAAATTGATTGGAGTTTGGTTATGGTGGATGATAAAAAAGAAAGAGAAAGGCAACAGGAATGTTTAAGGATGTTTAGGCATTATTTTCCGGAAATGGACAGAGGACAGGGCGTATTGTCTAAAATTAAGGGAGACCTAGAAAAAATTAAAAAAATAAATGATCTAGAAGAAAAATATCAAGAGGCTAGTTTTGTTTGAACTAAGCATACTATTAATGAAGCACATGCTGCTAGTTATTATAGTGCCGGCAAGCTAAGCGAACTAGGCATTAGTTTTACAGATACTGTAGAAAAATATCGTAAATTACTTAAAAAATTATGAGATTTACAAATTGAAGCAATTAAGCAGCAAGAAAAACAAAAAGAAACTGCTAAGTCAGAAAAAGTTACTAAATCTAAGTTAAAAACCAACCAAACTCAATCTAAAACTGCGTTTAAAAATACTCAATCAACTCAAAACCAAACTTCGCAAAAAGAAGAATATATTTCCTGCACTGAATGCCTCCAAGAAATCAAACCAGGAGTTAAATATCATTATCACAAAACTAAAAAAGATGGTAATAAATTCTGCTCCGAACAATGCTTTACTGAATATTATGGCGAATATTGTTGAGGTTGCATGAATAAATTCTTAATTGCAAGACTTTACGCTCCAAACAAAAATAATCCTAAGTATTTACTTTGTTTAGCTTGTTGAGAAAAAGAAAAACAAGAGCAAAAAGAGTTAGAAACTCCATCAACAAAAGATTATTGTGAAACTTGCGGGGTTGAATTAACTGGTAAAGATGGAGAAACTAATATACATTGTGCTCCTTGTTGGGAAAAAGAGATAGAGAAGGTTGATCACGAGGAACTCGAACGAGAACAGAACAGAACAGAACAGAACAGAACAGAACAGAACAGAACAGAACAGAACAGAACAGAACAGAACAGAACAGAACAG